AACACCCAATTTGTTGTGCCTCTGACATATAGGAATCAAACGCTTGTATAATTTGTTCAAGTGAAGGTGGAGGTCGATTTTTAAATTTAATAGAAACACATTCTGTATGTCCATCAATTACAGGTACACGATTACAAGATGCAGATACTGACATTGAAGATAGTAATTGAAATCCTGTAGCTTCTTGATTTAAATCACCTAAAATTTTAAGTGTTTCATATTCCATTTTTTCTTCTTCTCCCGAAATGTAAGGAACCACATTATCGAAAATGTCAAGTGATGCGACACCAGGATATCCAGCTCCTGAAACTGCTTGCATTGTGTGAACAATTACAGATTCTATAGGACCAAATGAGTCCTGCAGAGGTTTTAAAGCAACAACAAGACCAGTTGTTGAACAATTTGCATTTGTAACAAGGAAACCTTTCTTAAGGGAATGGCATGAGCGTTGATGAGGAATTAAGTTAAAGTGTGATGGGTTTACGGTTGGAACTATCAGAGGGACTAGTGGATCTCGGCGATAATTTTTTGCATTAGAAAAAACCACCAGATCAGATTTTAGGAATGACATTTCTGAATAACATAATACAAATGTATAAAATTTTGATAAAGTTTTTCTTTGATAAAAAAAAAAAAGGCATAGATATATATATATAGAATTACACATTTATTTACCAATATCACCGGCAACATCGGAATCCAAACCTGAAAATATCACGTCACAATCTTTAAATAATTCTGGAATACATTCTTTAATAATCATATCTTTAATATCAGCAGCTATTGGACTGGTCATTCTCCATTTTGTCGCTTGACAGTATTTTTTACCCGCTGAACGTGAAGAGGCACCAACGCTATGAATGGTGAAATGAGGATGAGCTGAAAGTAGAAGTATAAAACGTTGTCCTACTGTGCCTGTTGCTCCTAGTATACCGGCTTTAAGAACGCGCTTCGAAGAACTCATTTTTTTTTTTTTTAACGAACCAAAAATTATGCGATAATCTAAGGTTTCCCTGATTGGGATACAGAATAATTATGCAAATTTTTTATGTTACACGCGAAGAAATAAAATTTCTATATTTAGTTAAATCCAGTTAGTATATACGTACGGTTCGTACGGTTAAAACAGGGTTAATATGTACGTCGTATGTACGTATGTACGTATGTACATGCGAAATTAGAATCTGTGCCCGGTTTGTCGATCATCATGCATAATTTGTGTAACGTCTACGTGCGATATTGTAATATCTATATGCACGATGTAAATCAGTATATAATATAAAATTAATGCGTAAAAGATCTGTAAATCTCAATTTTTACTTGTACTCTTCGCGAATTTCAAATACGCGTTTAGGATCAAATTTTTG